TCCCCATTGCAAACAGCCTGGATGCAGACACAGCTTCTGCGATGATATCAAGAAAGAGTTTTTTTTTTTTTTTATGGTCAGGCCAAAGCGAGGTCATTCTAATAATACCCAAGGTCACTGGTGGGAGCCACTGAGTCTCCCAGTCATTTTTCATTTGCTTGCAGCAGTTAATGACAGTTACAGGGGCCGGGAACTTGGAGCTGATGACCATGTGATGTCACTAGCACATGCTAGGGGATTATAAGGGCAGGTAGGGGGCAGAGTTGTGGATTAAAAACGGTGGAAAAAAATAACTATTAACTGCTTCGCTTCGGAGCATGATGAAAAATTAAAACCGGAGACGTGGTGGGGGGGTGGATTAGTGAGGCCAGCCCTCACAAATGCCACATCAGCTGCTAGATTGTTTCCCTGATTCAGTGACTCAGCTGTAAGAGATCTGCAAAGTGCGTGTACGCGTGGGGGGGGATTCTTACTGTACAACCAAGGGCACACAAGGTTGCACAAGAGAGGTGGTGAGGGCACTGTAAGGGACAGAGGGCCTTGCTCTCCCTAAAACTGCAAGGCCTAATTTCTCTCCTGTTGCAGCCAGAAGCAAAACTTTCCTTGCCATCAGTGAGAGCTGCGATTCGTGTGCATTCTGGTTGGCCCTAAGGAGTGTGATGTCCCCCTGGGTAGCCCATTTCCAGATCCGGAATGCCACTTTCCTGGAACGGCGGAGCCAGGACAGAGCTAGGTCTTGATTTAACTGTGTGGAGCAACTGCAAGGCTCAGACTGTGAAATGCCTCTTGCCCACCTACCCATCCACAGACACTCCTTGCTCCCCTGGCCCCACAGAATCAATTCCTTCCCCCCCGGGGAGGTTTTCAACTCCCCGACAGGAAACGCTGGCTCAGACCTGAGTTCCACATGTAGCCCATCCAAGACCTTACAACTAGTGTTGGCCTTAGGGTTGTTGGGGCCCTGAGCAAGAGAGCCAGTTGGGGCCCCTTAGAGGCTTAACTTCGATGACTGATAAGCAAGTTGGAGATTTGTGATTTCAATCTCACTTTGCCCTATCCATGAAACTGCAATGAGCATATCTTAAAACAATATTGATAATACCAAGAAAGAGGTTTTTTTAACATTGAGCTATATTCTAGGTTCATTCTAGGTTCAACATTTTGGTGGCCCCTAAATGTGGGGCCCCCAATGGGTGCCTGGTTTGCCCTCACCTGAGGCCGCTCCTGCTTACAACACATCCAAACATTACACAAGGGAAAGCAATGAATTTAAATCAAATGATATGTAACACTGGGAAGGGGGAGGAAGAGTCTAGATAAAGATCATTTCAAGCACTTTGAAACTTAGAATCTATTCCCTTTATCTATTTTTTAAAAATCTAATTATATCCCCTCTCCAAGATGCATACCTCTGTAAGAAGTCGTATTTAACCTGTAGAAGAACTTTAATAACTATAACAAAATATTCTGCCTCCTTAAGAAGGAAATGGAGAGAAAAAATAAGAATAGAAATGACCCCTTTCTGCAACATTTCTATGAAAATCAGATTGTTATATGGCACCTTTTCTTCTTTGGCCAATCTTGTTTAAAAAAAATAATTATGCTACCCTATCAAGTTGCTTGAAAAACCTCAGTCAGAGCCTTTGTTTCCAAAAGCATTCTGTTCCCTCCTAAAATATTACTGACCTGTTTTGCTGGGTATTATTAGAGCTGTCTGGTTTTCCAGACCTTCTTCCTGTTTTGTTTTTGCATAAATCAGGACACAGTAGCTGTTTAAAAAGGTTTTCCTAGACAAAGCTGGCTACCGGTTTAGAATTCCTGTCTGCTAACATGGACCTCACCGGTAAGTCTGTAAAAGGATGTGGTGGACCAGAATAAAAAAGAATTAAGGTGGGGGGAAGGAAGGGAAGACCAATAAAAAAGAATGAGTTCCAGTCTTTTTCAGACAAGAGTTGAACTCTGAGTTTGATCCAGGCCCCATTAAAACCATTGGGTATCTCTTCATTGACTCCAGTGGATGTTGGGTCAGGGCTTATTGGAGGACAACCTGCTAAAAATCAACCTGATAATATTTTTTACAGTCCGTCCTATAATTCAGAATCCCTCTGCTGTATTCCCCAAGTGTTTAAGGCCATTGCACTCTCTGAATATTTATGTAAGGAAACAACTGGCACCGTCAACACTTCTGCTTATCTTAAACAAAAAGCTAGCAACTTAAACGTGGTTTAAGGCCGTTTGGGGCCAAATGCTCTGCTGGTGGAGGTTGGGGGAGTTGTACTGAAGTCATTGGAGGGATGTCTATGTCTGACGGCTGATCTCCTGGAATTGCCCGTTATTTTCTTAGGAAAGCAAAAGTAAGATTTTTTTCTGGAAAGGTATGTATCCTTGGATCCATCCTCGAAACAAAAGAAAATGGCTCTATCTTCCCCTCCCTGTTTCTCCCCCAAAGTGACTAGTGTCCCTGTTACAATTTGGCCTGACTTGATTTATCTTAGTTAATAGGATTAGAGTTTCAGCCTCTTTCAAAAATATCCCACCACAGAGGAAGAGCGGTAGTGACTCACTGCTGTCTGTTTTCACCTTCCAGGATGGGCATAATGACACACCCATGAGCAGAGGGGATTTGTCCAGTGGGAGCAGGCAGATTATCTGTATCTAGTGAAATAAGGCGTGCATGGCAACCTTTGCCAAGACTCAAAGCCAGAACCTACTCACTATAAAATAATTGTGTCACTACCTAACCAATGCACTCTTCATGTTTCATTTATCTTTTGACTGTAATTGAATGGTTGAAAAGCAAAAAAAATGTAGACAAATTCCAGCTGTATTGAGATCTGTTTCTTTCTCTGCTACCATGGCCCATCATTAGATAGTTTCCCTCTCTGTACAGAAGGTCAGAGAGTATAAATATAAATTGCATTTTGCATTACTTCTAGATGAGTGAAGCTGTCAAAGCAATAATATAAGCTTTCAGTCCCACATTCTACCACTTCTTTCCCATTTTTTGGCCAGGAGGTCATGTGCAAATTGAACGTGACAGCCCAGACGACATGTCCAACAGACTTATATTGTTAGAGTGCTCTGCCATGGCACTCATCACAACATTAAACCCACATTGGACTCCAGTTGCTCTTCAGTTGCTGCTAACAGTAGCTCAGACTTCTTGCAACAAAGTTCACTCCATACCAAATGTACATAACAATAACATTTCCTCTCTGAGACCTCGCCAAAAATATACACAAACAGAAAAAAAAAGGTCTGGAACAGCTGATCATAATAGCCATGCTTCGCATTCATGTTCCCACTGAACATATTTTGACAGTGGATAAATACGTGATACTTACACCGGTATAATCTTGCACATCCATAAAATTTAAGAGAAATAAGAATTGTGCTTTTTGCTGTATATGAAGCAGCGACCACTGCTCAAGCAGATATTTTGCATACTCAAATCTAAATCAAATATTCACCCATCTTCCTCTTTAGGTGAACAAGTAGATCTTTATGCCCTCACCATGTATAGGAGATAATCAAATCAACTTTCTGGCATGTTCCTGGAAATAAAGTTGTGTGAATAATGTACACACATGCCAGTGAGAAGTCTTCACTAGCCAGGACTTGTCTGATGTTATTTGAATCTATTGTAAAACTAAATTAGCTTAAAACAGGTATTGGAAATGAACAGGGCCAAGAAAGGCCTAGCCCACAGGCCACTGAAATCTGTGGAGTGCTTACCGCTGCTTACAATAGAAGCTGGTTCCTGACTTAGAATAACATTAGAAGTAAACCCTTCACATTGTGTACAATGCTGAAAAAAGTTAATGTTCAATGACAGCAAAACTAGATAGCTCTGGGGACACATAACAAGCTATGCAGCCTTTCACCTTTAGGTATATTAAAATGCAGCACAGGTTGGTAATGACCAAGAATTGTTAGTGTCTCTGGTAGCTGTTGGGTGACATATGTGAAAGACTTGGTGCTCTTGTTCCAGCTCCCAGGGAGTTACAAATGGCCCTAACTAGCAAGCTTTGCTAGTGGCCTATGCAGGGAAGTCCAGGACTGAACTACCATGAAAATCATGCTAGTTCCTTCTCTGCAAAGGTGGTGTCTCTGGATGAGGCTTGAGACATAGGGGTGCATAAACTGGAAGGACTGCTTTCTGAACCATCATTCTTCCATGGATAAACAGAGAATTTCATTTTCAAGGGCTGTTAATCTACAAATGTACTTAAAACTGGAGGACCAGCTCCTCCTTGGGTAGAAATCAGTATAGCTCTATTGAATGCAATGAGAGTCTTGCCCAAATAACCAGCAATGATTGTCTTTGATTACAAATGTGCAACAACTCTTGATGTTTACATTACGGGGATTTGCATGTAGCCCAGTGGGGAGTATTTTATCTCTTCAGAACATTGCACCAGCATAAATAATCCCACTGACATTCAAAAGCGAAATCAAAATAGCCTCTTTTTACCATAGGATGGACCATGAAGGTATTTTCTTTAAGCGTCTTCCTTAAACAAACTCGTCAATAATCCTCAAATTCAAAGTTCAGTCAAAGGAAAAAGAAACATAGGAGAAGAGAGAAAGACAGAAAAAAAATGGAATATAGTCTTGACTAGTGATTGTATTATAGGCAGCAGTATAGCAGTATTATATACAAACCTGTCTGCTTAAATATAAGTGACTCTAGACGCAAACCAGACAATTCTACACTTGATAGATAAGAGGATAGGATACCAACACAAAGTGGGACATTTACAATGATATACAAAAGTCACCACAGTGCTGCACTTAATACTGCATTCATAGAAAATCATCAAGAAGTGCAAACCAGTTCAAACCCAAAGTGAACACTTGAAGCAATCAGATGCAAACTTGCTCGAGGTAAAGATGGGCCACGCAGAGACTGAGCCAGCGCTCTGTCAGAGTACCAGTCTAGGAGCCAGCAAGAGAAATTACTAACATTGCGGAAATTATATTGACATACAAGCTTTCAAAATGGAAACCACTTAAAATACGCAGCAACAAGTTTTACCTTTGGCTCACAAGACGAAAGCCAAGGTAGTACTACTTCAATGTTGGAATTAAATATTTAGGTGATTTTCTTTCCCTCCTTTTTTAAATTGTGCTTTGCAGTTCCTTCTAAGGCTGCCTTCACTGTCATATAATAAATCATGTGACACCACTACCAAAAAATGCCATTGTAGAAAATAATAATGAGAGCAGCTGCTGACACTTTTACCTCTCAGGAGGGCTAGAAGACCCACTGCTAAAATATCTGTGAGCTTTCTGGCTGCATCCATCCTAGCACAGTTCTTAACATTTCCTAGACTTGGTAGCAATGGTGGCATTATCACACCCTATCATCTAACACCATAACTAGGAGAGCTTGAAGGCATAAGGATTCAACATCCAGAAGCCACTGTAAATTTTCCACAGGCCTGATTCAACATCTTGTCTACTCAGTGGGAGGCTTGCAGTGAACTTTGGATCAAACCCTATTTTAATCCCAGGGTTACCAGTGGTACATTTGCAATAGTGGGAGTGTAATAGCAGAGTTTTAAGTGCCAGTGTAGATAAGATGGAAGTAGAACCACTTCTTGGTCCCCACTCCTCAAGCTTACACTTGTTATTACACTTATTGAGTGCATCTACACATGTGCTTTACTGTAGAGTTGACTAACAAGCTCCACAGTAAAGCGCCTACACGTGCGCTGGAATTAGGGTGCAGTAAATTCATTAACTCCACCATAGGATAGAACTGTCCGGGACAAGTACTATCCTACAGCGGAGTAATTTATGCTACTGCAATGCATGTGTAGAGAGTGACTGGGACTGGCTGGGGCACGAGGGTGCTACGGTGCGGGGGCTGCTTGCCACCTAGCC